AAGAGTGGCAGAGAAAAAGCAGCAGCAGCCACAGATGGGCATGTCCAGATAAGCAGAGATCATCTCCTCCTGCGTGTCTCTTGTCCAGTCTCAAGCTGAGACTTTTGCTCTGCCTCATCCCGTAATCCTCTATCCCCTTGCGTGGTCCTGCAGTGTGCACTGAAGCTCCCAAGCAGTTTAAAATATAGTTTATATAAATATATTAAAAATACATTTTGTTCAACTTTCTCGAGGTGATGTGGCAGAATTTTCCTTTCCTTTCCTTTTTCCTTTCCTTTCCTTTTTCCTTTCCTTTCCTTTTTCCTTTCCTTTTTCCTTTCCTTTCCTTTCCTTTTTCCTTTCCTTTCCTTTTTCCTTTCCTTTCCTTTTTCCTTTCCTTTCCTTTTTCCTTTCCTTTCCTTTTTCCTTTCCTTTCCTTTTTCCTTTCCTCTTTTCTCTTCTTTTCTTTTTTCTTTTTGAAGGCCACTGATGCCTGCAACAACCATTGTCGTCTGATCTCCCTCTTGTATCCTCTGTTTCACCCTGTGCTGCCTCCCAGTCACTGAGATGCAGAGCAGACTGGTCTGAACAACTCCAGTCTCTTGCACAGTCTTAGACATGTTAGTGTGTGCAAATCAGTGCAGTGGCAACACAGCCAGCACCCTGCATTTGATTTCAAGTTCAGCTGGACTGAGAGGTGCCACCACTTCTGCAACATGTGGAATAACAACGAAGAGGAGAAAATCCAAACAAACACAGGCCAAGTGGTGGGGTCCCCAGCTCCATGCAGGACAGCCGTGCTCAGGGCACGGTCTCCATAACTTCAGCAGGGGCAAAGGAGTTGCTCTCAGGTAAATTCAAAATTAAACTTGGCACGTGCTTTCTCATCCAGACGGACACATTCCAAAGCACCACATCCCCACACCGCGCTGTAACACATGAGCTGAACTGTCACATCTGTGCTGCGTTGTGCTAGGCAGGGAAGTCACTCCACTGCAAACACTTACAGGCAGCTCTGGGTTCTGAGGGGTGAAAGTGTGAACACAGAGACGATGTCACAGCACCAGGAAGAAAAAAGAAGCACCAGGAAAGAAGAGTAGGGGCAATGAAGTAGAACACGATGCTACTGTAATTTAAGTCCAGAATGCTCTCCAAAATTGTGCATCTGTTGATTTGCTGTGGAGCCAGACCTCCCAACCCTGAACTGGCTGCACTAGTGAGGGCAGCGAGCGCTGCAGACAGTGACATGGTCCCATGTGACACACACTGCTCCCCCTCGTCTGCTACTGACCCTCATCCTGGCCATGCACCCACAGCCATTGAAATCAACCTGCTTAAAACCATGTGTTCCCTTAAATTCCATAGTATTGTTCTATTTCATTTTCATATGTTTAACCATGCACTTTAACCTCTGTCATGCACTCTTTCTAAACCTTACTTTTCAGGAATTACTTTTCCCCTGTACAGGGGGAGGCTTCCCCTTTCCTCCCTCAAAGTCTGACGGATGTCGTTTCCAAGCTATCGGGGCCTGCTAGCACTGAGGCGATTTCTAGCTATCATGTGATGGCACCACCATTCTTCAGTTATCACAGTACTGTACCTTTCACGTATACAGCACCGGTACCATGATAACCGAAAAAGGACAGTTCATGGTCTCATCGTTTGGTTATCATGGTCAAATAGAGCACCCTCCACCCCTGTCCTGCTCACAGGGCAGCAATTTGGTCTCTGAATAGCTGTGGTCTAGTCAATCACTCGTTAGACAGCTAAAGAAATTCTCAACACAGGATGCACTTTATCCTAGCCTGTGTGTTGCAACTAGCAACATTTCTCTCCTCTAAACCACTATCAGCCACAGACAAAACATTAGTAAAAACTGATGCTAAAAGACAAAATAGAAGTCCACTGCATGAGAGGGCTGAAGCTCTGGTGTTGTGGATAGCTCCACGAATTTAACTCCGGAGCCGTCTCCTTTGGGCTGCCGTGCTTTTGGCAAGTGGCTTAGCCACGCAGAGCACGTCCCGGTCACTGCCAGGGCTGGGGGAGATGGCTCGGGAAACACGGCAGCGTGTGCCAGGCAGCACGGGGCTGCGCGGAGCGACATGCAGAGCCAGCAACAACCCCATCGCTGCGAGTCTGATCGCCTCAGAACCAGGAAGGGTATGTAACAGTAAGGAACTGTACAAATAAACGCAAGGTAATTTAACTATGTGTCTCTTCTGAAGACAGTACAAGTTGTTCTCTTCAGAGCTGCAGGCAACATCTTCCCTATACAAATACTAGCTGTGTGGTATAAGTAGCAAATTAAAGGAGACCAAGTAATTAAACTGAACGAAACAACTTACGTGTATGGAGATAGAGGTCCCAACAGGACTTTGGAAACATCCTGTTGTCCAAGGGTCATGAGGAGCAGAGCAAGGCTCTGGTTTGTTGAATCTACACAGCCTCCCTGCAAACCAAAATGTTTTAATAATTAATCTCTGTAAAAACCAGAAATTGGGATGGGAGGAGATTAATAGAGGATAAGGATTTACTTAAAGGACAGAATAACTGCTATAATGCTCTTGATTTTTAAGAGTCAAAGAGCTAAAAATGTAGATTTTGTAACAATGACATTAATTTTTACAAGGCAGGTTGGGAAAAGAAAAAAAAAAAAGAAGAAGAAGAAATGTTAGGTTAAAGAACCTTCCCCACTCTGCCAACCTGCTCCCCTCTAACGTCACAGAATAAAAGCAGTGAAGAATTTCTGAACTTTAATGACAGCTTCAAGCAGCAGGGAGAAGTAAACATCTGCATTTCACTCTTTACGGTCAACTGAAAAGAGATGTGACTTTATAGTTCATATGCATTTGAAGACCCTTGATATATCCGAATTGCTGAGCTTCTAACATTTAACAGTGACATTTGGACAAATAGCTCAACTGTAACGGCCTTGAAACAGCAAGTTAAATTTTGTTTCCTACACCTCCACCAAAATCCCTACTGATGGTTTTTATGCTTTACATTTGCATTCCCCTCCTACATTTATAACAGAAAGAAGTGTATTTGTTCCTATCTGAAAGTCACACACGAGATTATGCAGAGCTATAAATACTACACTCAAAATAAGTGAAGAAATATGTGCAGGGTAAAGCGTTTTGTATGTGTGTGTGTGGGTTAACTATAATAAATATATAAACTGGAATTGGAAGCCCGGTTTGTTTACAAAGTCTGGAAATTAAAATCATTTACAAATAATATATTATTTCAAGATTTATGTAGACACAATTTATAAAGTATCACTATCAAACACACTGAAAATAGAAAATAGCTGGCATAATGTTCTTTGTATTTGCCTCATATTCATTCCGGTCCAAAGCTATAAGAAAAGTGAACAGCTTCCAGGTGAATCAGAGGCCTAATGCTGAACCCTCTGAACAAAATCTCTACAGAACAAAACTGACAAGTAACCCTTTCAAAACTGTAACAAGGCATACCAACAGCCTTTTGGGCAAAGAGCAGCCTGTTACCAAAAATGCAAAAGAGGGACAAAATGAAGTTAGGAATACAAAGATTAGAAAACATGATGTGACAACTTCAGTGCATTTACTCAGTGAGAAGGCAGAAAGTTCCAAGACTTACTGAAGGTTTAATTTTCTAGATAGCCTTGCCTCAGTGCGACAAGTCTTGGCACAGCTGTTGAAAGAAAACTTTGTATTTCCTGTGATGAAAGATGCACCTTCATCACACACCAGCTCTAAGGCCATCTACATCCCAGCAGGTGCTCTGCTCTCCTCCAGCAGCACTTTCAGTGCTAACTGTGCAAAACTATCACACAATAGTGAGGTTTATGCATTCAGCCTAACATTCTGTGGGAATGAGGAAAACTGTGCTCCATCTCGAGTGAACACGATACCTGTTGAAATTGCTGGTGCCACCTAGAGCACAGTTCTCACCAGCTGCATCAGCAAATCTGAAACATCTCCAAGAAGCAGCTGGGAGTTTGGCGAGAAGCATTTCAGATACAGGCTCTCTGAACTGCCGTTGGTCAGCTACTGATAACGCTCATCACCACTTGCACGAAGACATTACCTTTTCTAGGCTTGTTTTTGTGCATGTGTTTTGTTTTGCTTTTAAGCTGACAACACGATAAAGTACCTATTTATAAGACCCAAATTATACTAAGGCTTCAGCCATCATGGAGACAACCAGGTCCTGTACAACACAGCAAAACACAGTATATCCGTCGCACCTTAGCTACTTACATAAGTCTCTCTTGCTTCAGTGAGTCAGAGTCATCCTTTCTATTGCTGAGTATTAGCAATGCACTGCTAGGCCCACTCCCACATAAGCAGTTGCCATACAGGGAAATTAAGTGATTTGCCTGTAATCAAACCCCAAGGGAGCTCTAACTTATGTCTAATGAAGCACAAACAAATGCTTCTCCCAGGGAGGCTGGCTTTCTTCCTCTCAATCCACCTGCTGCTTAAGTGAAGTGTCCAAAATCAAAGCAATCTTCCCACCAGAAACAGGATGGGTGAAGTCAGAGCCAAAGAACCAACAGTTGTTCCAAAATGACTGGCACTCACTAGCAGTTCAGGATGCAGCTTCTAGACCATATTACCTCAATTTATGGCAGCTTCTCCATTATTGTTTCCATTGACAACACAGCCAGATCCAGCATACAAGTGGAGAGACAGATTGCTTAAAATCCAGTCTGTTTTGAAATATAGCAATACAAATACTACAGCTTACACACATATACAGAAATAATTACAGATATGGGACAACAGTGTTTTAAGAAGGACTATTCTTCTGAGCTCAACTCTAGGTTTGATTTAGTCTTGGCTGTGTTTTGGCATAAGCACAGTTTCCTCGCTTGCCAAGGCATATATACTTACGTGCTTCAAGAAACCTGAGCTGCTTTAGTCGTCTTACCTCTGGTTAAATAAGACAACAGTCCCGCTCCTCCTGCCCTTTCAAGCCCCCATAGCAACTCACCCTTGCCTTTTGAAATATCTCAGCTTTCAATGTATTGCACCCTCCTCTGGTTCTCCTGATTGCAAGAAATAAAAAACTTCAAAAGCCTTCCCCAGTTCTTCCAGGCTTTCTCATTCTGCCACTCACCTTTTGCATGAAGCTGCTATAAACTAGCACTTTCCAAAGACAAGGGAAAAGTTCATGTTGGCCTTCAACAAGCAAGTTCAGGTAGGATTTGTAAAGACAATGTGAATCACTCATGCCTTTCTTCCAGGGCCACCCTGCCAGTTGTTAATGCTCTACTAGCCCTGACAACATTCGGTCAATAAACACATATAAAATAAGCTCCACTGATTCTGAACAGCATGTCCTCTTAAATTTCCTTTTGAAGACAAGGGACCATTTAGCACTAAGCTGTCGCTGTGGCAGATGCCTCAGGGCCATTTAAACATCACTGAACTCTGGTAGGCCAGTGGGTGACTTTGACAGCTAAAGCCCTTCTGCAGCAAATCATCTCCAACATTTCCAAGATGTCCCTTTCTGATCAACCTTCTCCTCAGCTCCTGGAGCACAACACGTATAGGCAAAGACTGAGTGTGAAATAGTCTTATACAGTAAAACTCATGCCCAGTAGCAAATGCACAGGGGGAGAAATTTACTCTTGAACCCTGTACTCAGGGTTTACGATGGTCTGCTCAGAGCAGCCTGTTCTTGTCCCAGGCATAGCTTAGCTGGGATGCAAATTTTACACTGTTTCGTTAGACAGCTAATCCGTAAATCTGGTCAAAGAAACTTAAAACAGTTTATTCAAAACAAGCAAACACTGCATATTTTGCAAGCTGCTTTGATATCCTCCCTAAGGGCAACCAATCATGGCCTTTCCAGACCTCCACATTTTGCAGGTTCTCTGGCAAACGTGCCCTTTCTCTGAAGAAAGGGTAACAGCTGGACAGATTACCTCACCTGTTTCAAACTATCAAGGGCTTTCAGAGGGAAATCAGTGATGATAAAACACGAGGAAACAGCATTGTTCAAGGCTGCCATCATCTGACTATCCAAACATCTTTTCCAAGAGATTTATGCAAAACAACAAGATATACTTAACTTTATTTCTTTTTCAAAGACCAAAGCTACGGTATTTTACAGTTAATCCCATTTAAAATAAATAACTGTCAGTCTCCATACTAGATCACTGCTAGAATCACACGGATGTCTCATCATGGTGAGTACCTGTTAGCTCTCCATGTATATTCAGCGTGTTATGAGCATTCCAATGCAAGGAATTTCAAATGTCCTCAGGAAGAACATTTTTAATAGCATCTCTGTTAGACAAGAACCCTGGGTTAGAAACAATCCCTTGCCACTTTGCAGACAACCACAAGACCAGTCTGGAGAATCTGCAGGGTTGCTGCAATCCCGTATCTGTACTGACAGTCCATGGGTGTCTGGATGACACTGTCCTTCATAAGCACCTATGCAGCTCAGTTTGGGAAGGAAAAGAGCATCTTTTCTACTGCTTGCAGTAGAAAGGGAGGACTGGCAATCTAGCTAGGGGACCTAAGGATTGTTTCAGGAGAGAAGGAAAGACTAAACCAAAGCCTGCTCGTAGCACCTAGATGCTTACACTTCCCCTACGCTCTAGCAACATGGTACAGCTGAGCGTACAAGTTTTAGGCATATGCATAGGGCAGGAAGGAACATATTCCTTCAGGGATACCACAATTATATTTGAATTCCAGCATATACTGAAGAAAAAGGGATGAAATATTAATGGAGGACCTACCCAGAAGTTCTTTCAGGTTACTTCCAATTCAAAGCAATTACGTCCTCAAGCACCGAGAACACAGTTTGTAGATGGCTGCCTCCTAAAGGCCAAATATGCATTGTCAACACTAAAAGCTACTAAATTTGTTGAGATACATAACAAAAGGCAGTTCCTTATTAAACCAGAAAGTCTCACTATGATTCTAATCACTAAATCATTTCTAAGACTGAAAGCTGGTCATCCACATTAAAACCTAAAACCTCACCACAAATGAAAACAAGCATTTCTAACACAAAAATAAATACATAAATAAAGCTGTGGAAGGCTGTAATGCAAACACTGTCCTAGCTCTGTTCAGAGGAACCACCTGGCTAATTCCTCACACAAATACCAGATCTCAACACATTTGACTTTCTCATCACAATAAAGCAGCCAGCATTGAGACCAGCTGCTTTTTTTCCTTCTTCCTCACACCTCCACCCACTCACGATGCCCTATTTCCATCACTACTTTCAGAGGCCATGACTCTGCTATAAATCCACCTTATAATGTAAAAAAAGCAAAACAAAAAACAAACAAACAACCCCCCCCCACACACAAAAAAAATTCCCCAAAATAATACAGCCCATGTAAAACCAACTCTCATGCAACAAAAGCAAAGTTTGTCCCTAATGTGACTCACAGTAACATACCTTAGGCATAGGAACCAGCGTGGCACAAAAAGTCATTATTCAGCAGAATTCAAACACTCTTCTCACCTGGATTAGGATGACCCTGGCAGCACCAGATCATTTCCCTGCTGGATCTGAGGCAGCCTGAGGGGGCTCTCAAAGCACCTTCACTGCCTTTGCCTCAGGTACACGCACAGGCTACACCGGCCACTTACCCTGTAGATCTCCTCCAGCAGAAGCTTGGCACAGTTCTGGCCCAGCTCCTCGGGCAACACAGCAGCTCCCTGGCCCTGAGGGTTTGAGGCGAGCTCAGCGCTGAGGAAGGTGCCGTTGATGGTTTCTGCAACAAGGCTCAGCCCGAAACCTGGCGATCTGAAGGAAAGGGAAAGGGAAGCGCATTTCACTCGAGAACAAAACTGGGCAACAAGCCAAGAACTCGTTCTAGTCAAGTGTTCAGGTCACAAGCAGTCTACTGGGACCACACTGTGAATTCGGACTTGCTGAGGAACTCCCTGCTCCATACGTTTGATTTACCCTGGGGAAAAAAAGATATTAACAGCAGCATTTCAAAATTAAAACCAGTAACACTTGGCCCATATCCACGGTGCTAGTTGTTATTTCTGAAATAAGCTCTTTAAAATGACCACCTGGGAGGAAAAACATACCCATATTTATTAAAAAGCAAAACTAACTCCCCCCAGCCTCTTTCATGTTCTCTCAATTCATGTTTGATGAACATTTCTAGAGTTATCTGGAGTTTCTTCTTTCTCACATTAAAATAAAATAAAAATAAATCCAAAAGACGACAGCTTTCCTGAAGGACCCATTTTTCCTCTCTGCAAGCTTCAATATTAGCAAGATCAGTACGTAACCACTGTACTGGGTTATTAAAAAAAGGGAAACTTTCATCTGACATCACTATCACTTACAATTCCAAACACTTCTTTTCATTTAGAGTTCAATACAAGTCAAATTGTTACAGTCTCTTAGGAATTCTGAACATATTTGAGGAAAATTTAAAGCACCTATTTCCCCCAGACTTCAGTATATTACAGAATACTATTGTCAGTATTAGAAATTCCTGATATAGGTCACAGGTGACTGAATATACTTTGCTGAGAAATTGTAACAAAAGAAAATCACAGGATCCTCTCATTCATGGGTCCCAACAGAGCACCAAAAGCTAGCCATTCAAAACAAGGTTAGCTTAACTCTTTTCCACATATAGTGCTTTGTAAAGTTGTTTGGCTACCACACTTTTTAATTAAAATGGTCTCAGTGACCCAAAAGCTGTTGATGTTCAGCAACATCAACCGAACACAAAAACAAATCCCAAGCACCAGCACACACAAACTAATACACTTCTAGAAAACAAAAACAAAAACAACCTTTCTTCTAAAAGCATTTCAGTAGGGCAGGAATGAAAAGGTATCAGTGTTTCCCACCCAAACTTAGCTGCCTGTATTTGCCGAGCCGTACAGAGGGAATGGTAAAGATCTGTCTCTCCTCTTTTTTCCTCTGAAACAAACATCTACCAATCAAGACAGGAACAGGGTCAAAGACACTGCTTCTTAAGGGCTGCAATTTGGAGAAGCATCGTTGATAAATACAGTCCCTAGCAAGTTTTCTTAATATTCAGTAGCAAGCGGTAATCTGCTCAAATAAGAATTAAAATCATCCAGTGCCTGGTGCATGTGTAGACTGTATTAGCCACCATCTGCCCAAACAGACTTTCTGCTGCAAATTTTCACAACAAAACCAGAAGGTCTCTGCTTTGATTAACGGCCGTGGTAGTAAAAGATGGTCGAGTAATGTATTTCCTGGAGCCATTAGCACTGTGGAAGAGACTCAGTGCAACCCTTCGTGCTGTGAGAGCCATCCTTGGCCAGGGCTGGCCACAGATGGGCACAACTAGTCCTCCCTGGTCTTGCTCATCACTCAGAAAAGGAACAGCACTGAGCCCAATCAGATGTTCCACTTTTCCCCCCGTCCTGCCAACACAAGCACTAGGAACCCACCAGTACAAAGCTCTGCTGAAGTGGCATGACACCCGTATGAGGTATCCTGTAAGCCCTTTGGCACCACGTTGCTGTTGAACATCATGGTAGAGCAGCATTAGGAAGATGTGAGCACCTGCACTGTGGGCAGGGAACTTCAGTTGCTCATCCTCTTTCATTCCCTAGTACTCTGCATGGACTACCCACGAAAACACTAAACATAATGGCACTGCCTTATTTCATTTTACAGAATCACATTTTAATCTTCCACTTAACAGATCTTTTTTTAAAAAAAAAAGTGTTTTGAAATCCTGCTTACCGGTAAAAAACTGAAGCCACAAGATTTACAATCCTGGCATATTAATTACAATGAAGAACCAGAAAGGAAAGTAAAATACTTTAGAGAGTATTTTCTTTTCATGATTTTTTTGTAGACTTGTAAACATAACAATTTATCTTTAAGGTAATACTTAAAAAGGCATTTAGATCCAATTTTCAGAAATGTCTCCAGAACCTAAACCTCCCTGAAACACACTTGAGATTTTTTCTGAACACTTTATCTCAATGCTATATAAAAATGATGTTATCATTTAGCAGCATAAAACCATAACTGTTTAGAAATGCCAAGTACACAGCACATTCTATTAACAGCAGTGGGTCAACTAAACTCCTTTTAGGAGATTTAAATACCTACATTAATTCTGGAAGCATTCAGCATTCCTTGAAAAAAAAAAAAAGATGAAGTATTTGATTTTTAGATGTTAGATGTAGATACAGCTGTTGATGTTTATGAGGTCTTTATTCCTGAAATATTGGCCATAAAATCATTTACAGATTTTGTTCTCACACCACCTCTTCCAGGAAAGAGAAGCATTTTGTATATGCACAAGGCAAAACCTAGCTCAGAAGGGCTTGCTCAAGACTATACATGATGTCTGTGGCCATATGGCCATGAGATGCCATCTACTGAGTAAATCCTTCCTAGTCACACAGCTCATTCACCTCTACATTTCAAGGGCTATTCTTGCCCCAGTCCCCTGTTCCACTCCCAGACAACCATATATACCTATGGATAACTCTCTCTCAGAAGTTTCCAGAGATGAAGAGTCTTCCTGGCAATCCATTCTAACATATCAATAGCCCAATGGTTGTAACTTTTTTTTCCTAATGCCAAGTCTTCAGACAAAGACCCTGGAAGACTTTACAGAGAAGGACAACAACACAGCATATTGCTAAGACAATGCTATTTGTTATAGGATGTCAGGTCACTTGCGTAGCACAAAATAGGTGTTAGAGTTTAAATAAATAAATAAATAAATAAAAAGATATATTTTCTGTTGAATCTTCTTTTACTTTTTCTCTGTGTTCACTTGTGCCATGACATTTTAGTCAGTTTTTCTAATTGAGATAGACCATCAGTCACCAAAAAAAAAAGGACAAGAAAAGTGTGCATGCTTGGATTTGCGCATTTGTAAGGACAAACTAGTCAGTTACCAGGATTTTATCCAGCCTCAAGTGACATTTTGCAACCTATAAGTGACAAGAGGACAAGGAAAGTATATCACTAAAATTTTCTGAACACCTCACATCTGTGTTTTTGAAAGAAAGAAAATACATGGAACTGCAGTAAATTCATGCCTCATAACTTTCATCTAACTGGGGTTCCACTCTACCCGTAGAAGTCCTGACACTCCTCCAAGTGTTTATGTCTTACTAAAGAATAGAACAGCCCATGCCAATCAAATATTTCAGAAAACAGTTTGGTCCCATCCCAAATGATACCATTTTCCTCAAGAGGTCTAAAATGAAATTCAAACATTAGTTTTCTCTCCATACCATCTCACTTTAAGGCTAAAGAAAGTTCCCTTTAGTGAAGGTTTCCCTTTAGTGATAATAACGGTAAATGTTTCCTTATTCAAGAAAGTACACAATTTTTGTCTCTATACCACAAAGAAAACAAATGTAACTTGTAAATTATTTAATCTTCTTGCACTGTGAGGAATATTTTTTCCAAGAGCAACATGCTCTTCTATTTTACTGCTCAGAGCAGTAACAGATCAGAATAAACTACAAAAAGATGCAGATTTGTATTTCTGTTAATTATGAAAGTCAGATACTCACTTTCCAGAGCTGACCCCCTTCATATGATCTGTGTAGATATAAATGTCTGGGAGGAACTTATTCAGGATGCTCCTTGCAGACTCCACTATTCTGTTTGCCATCTGCGGTGACACTCTGACGGAGTATCTACACCTTTCAGCTAAGGAATTCTTTGTGAATGCAGAAAAAAAATAAGCCAGATGATGGTTTAAATACCCCAAAGTGGCCAAAAGGTCCAAATGCATTACTTCAGACAATACAATTTTGCCTTAGACATCTCTCTGTAAATGTCGGCCCACTTGCCACCCCCACCTATACTTAAAGAAGCACACATACTCAGTGCTTTCACTGATAAGTCTTTAAGTGAGGTACACATAAATGCACAGAACATCATACTATGATGAGGTAAACACCTAACTTTAAAGATGTCCTTTGATGATTTTCAGCTGTTGTTCCAACATCCTTCACTTTCTTAAGACCAACATCCTTCACTTTCTTACGATGCAGGAAGTCCTATGTGCTCTGCTTCCCCTTTATTGATAAAAGACAGTGGTGGATGAGTTCCTCCTGAATTAGCAGCAAGAAATCCGGTCCTTCCATTTTTATTATGTAGAAATTATGTAACTGAAATTAAAGATAAGTGGTAGAACGACTTATGAGAGAGGTGACCTCAGAAGCGTAAGAAGGTACTTTCTCTTTGGAAAAACCACGACAAATACTGCCACAGCACACTGAGCTGCCTCTGTTGTTGTTCTACAGAACATGCGCCCTGGAAAAATCGCTCTCACGCAGGAGTACTTCGCTCATCCAAATTCTGCAGCTGCAGGCTGAGTTCAAAGCATCCTGTTCTCACAATTACAAGAGCACATCATAAGGTAAATAGAGGGCTAGGCTCCAATGCCCAAGATAGAACAGGGCCTCATGAAATAAAAGCTTTAGCGTTCCTGCCTGTAAGGGGTTTCTGCCTTATTCCTATGGGGACAGAAGATTCATGAAAGATACAGCACAGAAACAACAACAGAGAAGGAAATAAAAAGAAATAAAATAACGATATGTGGAATTTGCTTTGCAAGAGCCATCACTCTGCAATAGTACTATGTGCTCTTTTCTTTCTAAGGGAAATACATCTTCCCCTACTTCCATCTCCACTGGTACTTGAAGGCTAAAGGAATAGAAAACTGCTTTTTGCAACACAACAAATAATTCCATTCACTTGTGCAGCGAGGTGCAAACAGAAATTAAAGCACCCATCCGACACGCAGCCATGACCATTAACAGCCACGATGCCCCTATTCAGTGTGGAGCACAACACTGCTCTGCACATAGCGTCTTTGAGACTCAATGCTGACTAGCTGTTTGCATGATCCTTCCACACCACATCTGCAAGGTTTAAAAAAGATACGCTGTTCCCCTGATGCGCTTGATTTTGCCGGGGTCTGTGAGCTGAAGGGGCTGCAGGACCTTCTTCACTGGGCAGGCAAACACTATCTCTCCACCACCTTTGGGAGGCATTCCTCTGCGGTTGATCTGGGAACAGTAACGAAGGAGAAAAAGGTTTAGTAAAGAGCAGAAAGAATGTACCTACACATTCAAAAGTGATAAATCATATTACATGTATAATAAGATCTTAGTGGTAGCGATATTAGGTGAGTACAAGTGAAGAAAAAAAATCCTAAAGAGAGAAATGGATTTTACACCAAAGCTACCAGCACTGCTGAGGTGTCGCAGGGCTGAGATTGGTGGCCTGGACTGGGCTCAGATGGGGCCAGGCTCTGCAGGGGGAGCCCTGGGAAGGGAAAGACAGGCCAAGTGGTACCCTGGCAGGTCATCATATTATTATTTCCATGTTCATTATTTTTGTTATTACTGTTTATTTGTTTTCTTCTTTCTAGTTTTTATTTCCCCCTCAGCCTAGATGTCTATTCTACATCCATGTCTGTTAGCTCCATAAAGAGTATAGTCCACAAAGAGACTTTAGAGAAATAAGGGTTTTTTTTTACCTTGATTTCCAGACTTTCACCATCAATTCCAAATCTTTTCAGCAGAGGTAGAGCTGTTGCCTTAAGGATATCAACCTACAGAACACATAATTAAAAAAAAGGGAAAAAAAGCACACTCTATTGCAAGTTACGTAAGTTAATAATTTAAAAGCCCTTGAATTATGAAGTGTATAATAGGCATCAGGCTTTCTCAGGCTTGGTATTCTATCAGCAGACAAGGGAGTGCAGCATGAAAAGCTCCAACTACTCTTAGATTACCATAGGCTCTCATTACTCACAAATGTTGCCAAAATAAACTACTGGGACATGAAATTTCCTACTCTGGATTTCTTCTGCAGCCTGATTCTTATGTTTGTTATGTTTCAGCTAAGACAGTTCATTTGTTTCTCTGAACACAGTAATTGAAAAAAATTATTCTTTTGTACTTGTTAAAAAATTCTTGATCAAACCCAATCTCGGAGGAGTTAAGAAACCTCAACATTTTGGTCCTTGACTTGGCAGGAGGAATCTCAACCTTGTATCAAGAACTCCTCAGCACTCTCTAAGAAAGACGAGTCTCCAGGTAATTTCTGTTGACAGAAGAACCTGGTTAAGTGCATGGCAAATCATCCACGTATTCCCTCTGAGATGGGTGCTTGCCAAATCCAGGTCTAAGCAGGGCTTTCCTTGCAATTGCTATTCCTGGTTGCTGAACTAAGACAGCGACTGTCCTTTGACTGCCTTCTTTCTTCTGCTGCCACTTCAGCATTACTGAAAGGGACAGGAATGATCTTTGCAATAGACGCAGGGAATTATCAGAAATAAGCAGCTGGGCAGAGATAGGACCAGGAGAGCATGACCAAAGAGAAGCTAAAATTCAGATGGAAAAGGAAATGGATATTTAATAGATGGTGGCACAGAAAAAAAAAATAGAGTATCCTTCTTTCCACAGCTTCAATCAAGACACAATGTTATTCTGTCTGCTCTCTGTAAAATGATGCAAGTACAAAGTACTAGCTTATACCTCACGTACAAAGCTGTGAACAAGCTGTTAGAGCAACTTGCTACAAGCCTAGACTGCAGTTCTGCTTCAACTCCTGCTGGCTAACATGCTTTCTTTTCTTCCCTGACTGTAGGGCAGATATGGGTATTTTTAAATGGCAGGAACTAGTATCAATGTGTTAATGTCATTAACAAATCCTATGTCGAGGATTATTTATTTATTTTTAATGCCAGGTATGTCCATGCTGCCTTATTTCACCCCTCCAATAGTATTCATTAACCAGAGTCAGATTTGATCTTTAGAGCACAAAGATTTAACATGTAAGCAGACAAACACAGACACAGGTGAGTACCACTGGCAGAAGTTCTGAAATTCTGACAAGTTAATCTGTTTTGCATAAGAACTGCAGAGCATTTATCCCTCTTTGTAATGAAAAAAATATATACCAGCTAAAAGCACAGTTTCACTAAGCAACTTACAAACTTCTTTCCCCTTCTGCATTTCCACTTTTGTAATCTCTGGACTGAAGTTTGTATCTATGGAAAAGCATGTTATGACCACATTAGAAAACTGGGTCAACTTTGAGTCTGGTTTGTCTATTTCCAAAAATTCCAAGACTTATCATAGCCTTTGTAGTCCTTTGATGAGTGGCAGACAAAATGCTCACCAGACACCAGACAGACGCACAGCAAGAGACTGTTCCTGTTCCAAGTTCATAGCCCTAGCGGAGAAGGTAACTAGCAGTATTTTAAGAATGGGAGAAGGCTGCCCTGCTCAACAGACATGTGGGAGCTCATGTGGGAGGGTTGACTTCATCCAAAACCACAGGACTGCAGCCAAACTGAGAGGCATGCCTGTATTCCTAGGTCCTTGCCTACCACTCATAAAAACAGGCTTCAGCTCTCCTTGGTGGGCAGTTGTTCCATCTTCAAAGCTGACAACACAACACCAACTTGTACGTTTGTTTTTCTGTGCTTTGGCACCACAGAAACGAAGAATTTGCCAAGTACCATAGACATTATTTATTCAAAAACCAAAATTTGGTATTTTTTTTAAAGAATTCCACAATAAATAAAAATCTAAAAGCATATGAATCAAAACAAAACAAAAACAAAAAGCCCAGGCCCAACAGCAGCTGATTATCCCTTTCCTAGGTAGCCATTAATCAATGTACATAGGTCATCAACACTGCTCAGGAAAGCATTCACCATCATGCCATACATACAGCATTATGTTTTCATGGCAGAAAGGTAGAAGGATTTTTTTTTTTGTACATTGCACAGATGTGAAAACATACAGTCTAGCAACAGGGAGAGAAAAAAAAATCCAGAAAACTCAGTAAGGAAAACTTTTGTTTTCCTGGGATTACAGACAACTGCTGTTCCCAAGCCAAAACTTCATATGCTAGTCTCATGCCAGCAAGAAAAGTCATTTCAGTTGAAAGTCCCAAGGCAAAGTTGTAAAAAAGCTTTAATATTCACAAACCCAAACAACAGTACGGATTATTCTAAAATCAGATTATTACAGTACCACATATCTGCAGCTGGTCAGAATAACAACATGAAAAGAAGGAAAGAAAAACTAGAGAAACCCAAAGCACTTCAAAAACGTGCTTTATAAAGACATTCCCCACCAAGCACACTCTCAGTGCAGAGAAGCCTGAAACCACGTCAGTTCTGCCACTGCAGAACAGCTGCTCCACATACACAGGGACTCTAGCGGTTGCACAGAATATGTGATGTAAACACAAGTTGCCAGTGCGTGGTTTGGGCTCCAGGTGGAGGGGAGACCTCGTCCTGAGGAACACAAGGGCTAAGCACCATCCCTGTGGGTCGTTAAGGCACAGCACTGGTGCTGCGGGGCGCAGCCAGCGCACGCGCCCCTGCGCTCCAGCGGCCCCCGCGCTCTCCAGCTGCTCTTCTCAGCCATCTCCAGCGGCGCCAGCTGTCAAACATTTCATTGCACCCCATCAGCGGGCAGGGATGTATACACTCAAATGCAAGCATAAACACATACTCTAATCTTCCTCGCTGAAACCAGCCAAAGTCTCTTCTGCCTCCGGGTTGGAAAGAGCTTTCCTCTCTCCTTGACCACGTCTAGTGTCACTGCAGCAACAAATGCATCATGACCCCTCTGTCCTGACAAGGGGTCGCTGTGGAGGAGCTGCTTCAAGCCCAGCAATGCAGCAATCACAGCCAACAGACATTTTTAAGGCTCTCTTCAGAGGAAGAGAGTGAGAGCAGCTTACAGAAAGCCCAGTTATCAGGCATCCTGCCAGTTACAGAAACTGGCTTAGAAGAGTCTCAGAAAAGTGCAGAGTATGGGAAGAAGCAGGATTGTGGGGCTGAAAGGAGGGGACTGGGCAGGACTGGGCACCTTCTCCTTTCGGGACAACATTCAGGACAGCATTCAAACTTGTGCTTGTGCTCTCAACAACTTTCAGAGTACTGCGGATTTCATTATAGGGAGTTTGAGGGCTTTCTTCTGTTTTTCCCATTTTTTCTTTCCTCCTCATTATCATAGCTGAGCTACTACCTTGCACAAAATTCCTTCAAATTAGTTTATCGGGGTGCATTGGGTTTAATGTTTATTTATGCCAGTTACAGAAACATTAGTCGAGTTCATACTAGCTTGAGGAATCAGTATTCTACTACCACTGTGTTCCCACAGCACCGTTAGCATTAAGATACAACTTTCTGGCACAGACATCTGTCAGCATGTGAGTGCACTCGGTCTGTACGAATCCGACAACACCTTCCTATGTCTGAGCTTCATCCAGTGCAAACTCCCTTCAAGGGAGAACTGGCTCGGACTCTTGTGCCCATCTCACCTGGGATTACTTAATCTCTGTTGGCCCAAGTCAATAATGTCTGAGAAGGAATAATTTCCAGACTCAAGACTAAGCTGCTTAGATGTGTGTCCAAACTTACTTGAAAGCAATGTTCAAGTTGGACTGCTCTTCCTCTCTGCATTCTTCAAGGAAGTCTCTCTTTACTGCGGTTAAGAGATGCAGTCAGCCCAAAGAGACTACTCTGCTTCTTACTATTTACCATTTTCTATCATATAACTTTAATCATGGTGACTGAAAGATTAGAGAAACACAGGTTTTTCATTTACAATTTCTTTTTTTTTTTTTTTTTGAAAGCACGGCTTATAAACTCACTTCAGTTACTCTTTGGCTCGTGTGGGTGTTTTGCACTGCCATAGGGGAGAGAACATATTTTTTAAAATGACAAGACAGAGTAGTTGAAAAGCCATAAATACCAGCAGGACTCAGAGGTTGGTCTAATACCTGCTATTACACTTAATAGTATTTGTTTTCATTTTAAATTGGGTAAACTTTCAGGTGACAGTGTTCCTCTAATCTACTCACAAGAAAATACACAGTCTCCAATCACCATTTATAAGGTAAACAGCAGTGCTGTTCAAGCACCATTACTTTAAAGGAAAAAAAGCAATCAAGCCCTATCCATTACACCAGAGTTTTAACCCTGTGTTACCCACAGCTCATTTTTGTAACAAGACTATTACAAAAACATTAAAGATTTTAAATCATCATTAAAATAGTCCCAGGAAAACATGGCTAATTTCATGAAGTCATTTGACCTGTGATGCCTTTCAGCGTCCTTCTGAAGAGACAATCCTCTTTCTGCAAGCTGTTTGCAACCAGAAAGCAGCTAAGTAAATTACATGCAGGTGCAAATCTGCTAATGTAATTTTGTTATTGTCATGTGACTTTTATTTCTAACAAAAAGCCTTCATAGAGACATTGGCATAACTCGCATTCCTTCCCTATTGCACTAAATTTTATAGACAATTTCTTTTCTTTAGAGTAAATAAACATGTGAGACAGGGGAATAGCATATCTAAAATTTAAGAGAACAGGAGAAACAATGCCAAGGCTTCCAAGCACCTTTAGAGGGAGTTTCCAGTGAAGGAGAAGCTGCCTAGAACTGAATGGTCAAAAGATCGATTACAAAGAGTCTGGCGTAAAAAGAAGAAAGGGAACAGATCAGAAGATGCTTGTTTGATTCCGAGAGTTTGTTGGTTCATGCAGTAATACTAGATACTTCTTGTTATCAGAAACTACAAAAAAGTCAAGGCTTTGGAGGTTTTCTTTTTTTAAATAGAGATGAAGAAGGAAAAAAATCTTCTTGGATACTTAATAAAGTTTCATTACTTACTGAAGGATCTACTTGATCATTTGTTACTCCTCGCAGGACAATTTTTAATGGGTGCTTCATGAAAGGTGCCAGGCAGAGCAGACTTTCCAAATAATAGCCAATACCACGACTGGGACTGCAGTCATGCTCCAGTGAACCTCCATACAAAAGACCAGGCTGATAATACAAGGTAGTACCTGCGGGAAAGCGAGGGGAGAAAATCATATCAGAGCATTATGAGTGTGCTAGCCATGATCACAGTGTAAAGACACTTTGCAGTGACATGTACCAACGAATTGTTGAAAAAACACAGTATGAGGCAGGCTGTACTTGTAGCACACTTCTTCCCTGTCTACCATGCATGAATGGGCTAAGACAGATGCATGTCTGTCTGTCTTGCACACCACTTCTTCTTCTCTTTCCTTCCCAGTAAATCCAGAATCCTTTAATTATCCCCCAAAGGGCATAGGGAAGCAATTGTGATCCTTTCACAGCTGCCAAATCTTTACCACACCAATAGGCCATTGCTGCCCCAGCGTGTCTAGTGACAGATACCAGCTTTACTGACCCTGCAAACCCTCAGCCATCAACACATACAGAACAAGAGCCTGCTGATGCATCTCCATGGGAGATTCGCTGCCGAACAACTCCTCCTCTGAGCATGACTGGGCAGGCATAAATCTTGCCTTCTACAAAACCCCCTTCTAGCTCAGAGGGATCTACCCCACTATGAAATCCTGGACACCAAGCAAACAACGACACCTCAGATCACGAGGAATGCATTTTCTTCGGCTCACTGCATTACAGTGGCACATTGCTCTTCTCACTTGTAATCTATCACTACAGAACTTCTCAGTTTGATGATTTCTGATCTGCTTGGCCTTCGGCACCAAGCTATCTAGAAACTTACCCCTGATGAGCCAAAATTTTCCCTTCACTGCAGCTAGTGATATAGCCTGGCACAGGGGAAGAGGAAAAAGAAGATCTCACCTGTTTGGTTTATTTCAATCCTAGAGCCATTGGTCACCTTGTCAATGAGGCGAATAAAACTTGCTTCGAAATCTGATGAGGAAAACAAAAAGGGCAGGAGGGGGAGGAGGGTTAAATATCTTTACGTATTTTTCTGAAGGCAGCTTCTGAAAAGCAAGAAACTTCTACACACAGCATATGATACCTATACGTCTTCCCTTTCTGGCCGTTCCCAACAGCACTCTCTAGAAGCCAGTAAGGCTACCTCCGCTTGTCAGTTTGTTGTAGGACAATTTCACCACATGGAGAAAAAAAGCAATTCACTACCCACCCAGAGGCCTCAGTTCGAGCCTGGTGCATGCAGATGTGACCACCTATGAGCCACATGGCTCTTGCCTGCATGCAGTGAGGTCCGGGACTGGCTCGTCTGATCACAGCCGAGCGGTCGCTTTTTCGTCAGTGCAAAGGTCATTTTTGCAGCACATAGGCACAAATCCCAGCAAACAGGACCCTGTTTATTTAGGCTTACAAAGCGAACTGCAGCTTCCCTTTATTTTCTGTAGAGGTTTTCTTTTAAAAAAAGCTGACATTCAGATGTGAAGTGTACTGTGTTCCAAAAACACCACAGTGATATATCTATTTGCAGACTTCAAAATTTTGCAAAACCACCAGCGACATAATAAAAGCTAGAGAAAAAGAGAGGTCTTCCCATCACCTCTTTCTGCTTAGAATGTGCTTCTGTTCAGACTGCAGCAGCTTGTGTGAAATTAATTACTCAGCTTCTCCTGTTTTTGCAGATCCGTTCTCAGAGCCACAGGAAGTAAAGAATATGAAACAATAAATAAAAATCTGACTACTGTTCAAAAACTAATATAGCATTACGAATAACGAAGTTGAGCTACCAACTGATAATTTTGCCAGTCCTGTTGGTTCTTAAAATTGACTGATTTTTGAATTATATTTGAACAATATTTTTCTTGATACTGAGTGTTGGCCAGTTTGGGATACGTAAATACAAGGATACTAAGATTCCTTTTCAAGAACCAACAAGACCTGCAAAATTATCAGGTGGTAGCTCAACTTCGTTATTCGTAATGCTATATTAGTTTTTGAACAGTAGTCAGATTATTATTCCTATAGACACTTTTAGGATGCAACAAGCATTTAAACCAATGTGCTATTTTGAGAAATTGCAGCTTCCTAAACAACACTGGCACAGTGTGCTTGACAACCCAGACACACAGAGCTGCTCCTGCCCTCTGCAGTGATCATTTCCATACTCAGCTTTACATGATAATCCTGGAAGTACTTCCAGTGGGAAGGGGCATCCTCGTGAACAGCTGCCACCCTCTGGGAGGACAAACCTGCACTGAAGTTTTGTGTGTGAAGGCTCCAGTCACAAAAAGCAGAGCACGTTGAGTTTGTTATTGTGCTTTTTCTGGTACTGTCACAGTTTGCATTCTAACCCATACTTGGAAAAGATAGCTCAAATACCTATTAGAAAAAAAATGGCAAAAAACCCCCTACCTTCATCACAACCAAACTCTCTCTAAACCGGCAGTAATAAATACTTGGGGTCTTGGTAAGTGTTAAGCCAAGTGCAGAAGAGTGTTTTGGAAGTTTAGCAGGAGAGTTTCTTGCTATAAACCAAAGCCTTCTGTGGAGGCGGCAGAGGGTCTGTGATGGCGCGGGCACCGTTCCCAGCCTTGCACCTTGTCCGAAGGGAAGGAAAGGAGGTTTTGGGACAGCAGCCCCCCTGCCACGCTCGCGGCCTTGGGAACCACCAGGTGCGGCTCACGACCAGCAGCGCGAGTGCCGAGGGTGCTCTCCTTCCTCCCACCTGGGCACGAACCAGACACAAATCACAGCGTGAGGCCTGATCCCGTGACACTGCTGGAGCCGCGTCTCTGCGAACGAGATGTCGGCAAGGCCGTGGGGTGACCGTGCGGGACGGGAGCTGCCGCGGCCTCCCGCTCCCCTCGCTCCTGCCCAGGAAGAGGCCCCGGCCGCTGCTGCGGGGACCAGCGGGGCAGACCCTGGGCCTGCGTGTGAGCCCCGCTTCCCTGAGGAGCCTGGTGAGCCCCAGCCCTGGATAGCCGCTCGGTAACCCCAGCCCCCTGCATAGCCTGGCTCATCTCAGACCTCAGGATGCTCGGGTTATTCTTAGACCCTGGATATCCTGATAACTCTGTTCTTCAGCACCGGGATATCCTAGCTATCCCGGTTATTCTCCCAGATTTTCCTTTATTTCCCCCCCTCCCTCAGGGGCTGGGGGTGTTTTGGAGGAGCGGCGGGTGGCCCACGGGGCGTTTTCCCCCCCCCCCC